AAGTTCAGTACCTTTTGTGAGTGGTAGAAGCTCGTTGTTTTGATATGAACCACATAAGGAAGAAAGATTTTATTGGGCCTAATCCATTTTATTCAGTTGTGTTTGATGGGCATATTTCCGCACAATTGGGCTTTACTTAAGAAAGAGAGCAAAATCAAAAAATTACATTATTGACCATAAGACTTATTAATGGAAATGTTACACTTATTTTTTTTTAATACATTTATATAAAATTCTATAGAGCTATCGGATGGTTTTTTTATAGTCATTCACCACTTAATGTATTGACACCTGTTCAAAGTGCATTTATTGCAGAACACGTGTCAATACACTATTGGTGAATAAGTGTGGATGGCTCCATAAGCCGAGCCATCCGATGACTTCATTGCAGAACTATACATTTATATACTACCTTATTTATTTTTTTAGTATGATTGTCATCACTGTTCTAAAAGTTTTTAGGCGTCCGCTAGGCGCTCGACCAACGCCTAGCGCCTAGGTGGGGCCTAGGCGGCGCCTAATCCGGGCCCAGAAATCAATATTAAATACTTTATTTTTTATTTATTTTAATTACCTACAATATAAAACTGTCTCAACTTGTAATAAATTCATAAACCAAAGTCCAAATAATAATATTAATATATATTAAAGAAAACATGAGAACAAAATAATATAATTAGTATTTAAAAAAAAACTAAAAAATTTCCGTCGAGCCCACCTAGGAGTGTCTAGGTCCGCCTATGCCCGCCTAGATGCTGCCTAACCGCCTGGCCCTCGAGCCCGCCTAGGCGCCTCCTAACCTCCTGGCCGATTTTTTCTTCCGATTTGTGCAAATCGAAGGCGCCCGGGCACCGCCTAGACAGCCGCCTAGGCCGATTTTTAGAAGTCATTGTCATATATGAATCAATTGTTTATCAAGTCAAATGTTTTTAAATATGGTTAATTTTTAAACAATGTTATTATGTTTCACTTTATGGGGAAATATGAGAACGCTGTTTTCACTTTTCAAATCCGGTCTTCCGGGTCACTCGGTCAATGGCTAAGCCGGATAACTAATTTTTAGAATTTAAAAGTATATTTATACTAATTTTTTATCTTATAAATATACACAAATTAATTTAATTTCTAAATAAATTTAATTTCTAAATACAAATACTTTAAATTAATAAATGTAAAATAGCTGAGTCAAATTGAGTTGATCCACCATCATTAATCGGTTCGAATGGCCCATTCAAACCAAGTTTCGGGCTGGCGGCAATTATTTTTACCCGATCAATCAGAGTTGGACCCCCAAAAAAAATAAAAAATAAAAAAGATAAATTGTTGTTACCAAAAGAATCTAAATAGAATCCTAATTTGAGAATGCCAGTTTAACTATGAAGCCAACACTTTGGCTCTATAATGGAGTCAACCTTCTTTATAAAATAAGTAAATTATACTATATTATCTGATTACTTAAATAAATACTAATATGATATGGTTTATTTGTTGTATATACAAGGTTTGACTCTACTAAGAGCACCCACAATGCTTTGGGTCTCTTTTTGTATATGTGGCATATAATTGGACTTGGGTCTTAAATGACATGGACAAACTCAAGTAAAAAAACTCAAAAACTTTGCAATGTAAAAATAAACATACTAAGTCTAGCATACATACCAACCAATAAAAATGTTCTAATATGTTTTCTTTATTAAAAGAAAAATTAAATTAAGAATAAATGATGAGTGTTTGGTTTGTACTTGGGTCCAAAATAGACCCGACTTGTTCTCCCACATAAGCTAGACCATATCCACTTTTAATTGCATTGAGAAATATTTTTTTATAAACTAAGTGTGGCATGTGAATTTTTATTAGGAGGACCAAAGCTTTGTGGGTGCTGAGAACATTTTCATTTGATTCTACTGTTCAAATTTGACACTTGAAAACTAAGAACCGATTTTATTTCAGCTTCTGTCGATTATGATTCTATGTCCTATTGAGTTGCATCATTTTCAAACGTCTTATTTGAGGCAAACACGTTGAACCAAAATCTTCACTGCACATAACTGTAGGAAATCGAACCTGAGGCAGCATTATCTTTTACCGTCGTTTTCCCATATACAGAACATAAATCGCCTGACATCTGCAGATAAGGTAAAGTTTGAAAGGGAGAAAAATTGAAAAAATAAAATAAAAAATAACAAAAATTGCAAAAAAATAAAAGGAAAAGAAGGAGTGATTCTAGCTCAGCCAGATGCAACCACCGCGCAGCGGCGAGCTGAGCCGGAGCGACGGCGGGCTCGCCAGATACCGGTCGGCTCCGGCGACTTGGCTCGAAGCTCTACTCGAATCGGACGACGAGCAGCAGCAGCCGGAGCCAGACGAGGCGGGTTTAGATATCCCCAAACCGCCGGCGGAAGCTCCGGCCTCCGACGTCGATCTGGCGCTGCTGGAGTCCACCGGCGCCAGCGCCGGTGGTTTGAGCAATTTCCTGAGGATGAATAGTTCTCCGGCCGAGTTTCTGTCACTGCTCAACGACTCCGAAGGGTACTTCCCTAATTTGGGGGTTCCGGCGGGTTATGGTTTTGCTCCGGCGTCACCTCCGGCGAAGCGCGCTCGCGACGCGGAGGATTTGGTGGGGCTTTCGCCCAAATTGTCGCCGCCGTCGTCTTCCTCTCCTGTGGTATGCGTTTTCTACTGTGAATTGCTTGCGTTTTAGTTGCTTCTTATTACTATCACTTGAATGAGTTGAACAACTTGATAAATGACCTGATAAATTAACTCTAATTGAAAAAAAAAAAAAAATGCGAAACTTTGTGTAAGATTGGTGATCTTGAATTATGAAGGGGATTTATGCAACCAAAAATGACAGTATTTGTGAACTTGAAACTCTAAAATACAAGGGCATGGGCTTGTAGTTATATTAATCTAGAAGGCGTTTGCTGATGTAGTGAAAAACGGTTAGTAGTCTTCGCGTATATTTATGAATCATTATAGCTCTTGTTTCGATTGGGAAAGATTTAATTTTTGTTCTTTCTGGTGAAGAAAATAGAGAAAGGCGAATGGTTGCAAGGCGAAGTTGGTCGGCAGATAGATGTTGAGATGGAGAATCTGTTGGAGGAGTCAGTTATGTGTAAGGTTCGGGCAAAACGTGGCTGTGCTACCCATCCTCGCAGCATTGCCGAAAGGGTATCGACTTTCTTTTTTATCTCCTTTTTTGGTTTGTTGCATTAGAGTTAAAGGTTTTAACTTTTTAAGCTGTTGTCTTATTAAATCTGCTTCCTTTTTGTTATGTATGCGATAAGGTGAGAAGGACGCGGATTAGTGACAGAATACGGAAGCTACAGGAACTTGTTCCCAATATGGACAAGGTAAATTGATTGCATGAGCTTGTTATGTCAAGTTTTTGATTTTCGGTTTATGGTCGAAATTTTCTGATTAAGATTAAGACCTGCTGCTGTATGAACCTGATCAATCATCTCAGCTTATACAGATTCTTTTTCTTTTCTTTCTTTTATCTAGTACGTTTCGGATTATTACTAAGCAGGCTAAGTGTATTGGCCAAACTGTTGTATCGTATGTCACTCTTTAACTAGTGATGATGAATTGTCCCATGTATTAGTTAATCATTTTTATACGCTTCTGGAAAATTTTAACGCAATGCAGTGCTACCATAATGTCTTCATTGAATTGTGAAGTAAAAGTTTCAAACTTTTGTGCAGGAGTAGCTCTGTAGCTGGTAGGTTAGTCTAATTCTGTTTCATTTGCTACTTAACTAGAGTTTGCGCCAAATAGAAGTTCTCTAGGCAAAATGTACATCCAATGTACGTTTGCATTTCTACATTATCCTGTGTGATTTTCATGTGCTTTGAAAATTTTACCATTTCACCTTTTCCAATTTAATGCAGCAAACGAACACTGCAGACATGTTAGATGAAGCCGTAGCTTACGTCAAGTATTTACAGCAACAAATCCAGGTTATTTTGTTTATTTAACTAGTATGCATTTTTTATAGTCTCTCCAGTTGCCGTTTTACGGCTTTTAAAACATTCGGTCAACCTTGAAACGTGATTAAACATTGCGCAAATGAATTCTGCACTCAGGAAGTTCCTTTGACACAACGCCTATTTCTGTATCTGAATAGGTGAATATGCATGAATTATTCTTCTGCTCATTCAAGAAAATAGTTTGCTTTCTAAAACTTACAGATATTAAGAAAGAAAGGCAGTTTGTGGTAATCACCTCCAGTGGCTTTCTTGGCAACTTATATGTTTCCTCATGTTCACACTCGTGGTGCTCCACGAATCAGATACTCGCGCATTTTGAACTCTCGATTTCAGTATTTAATTTATTTTCACACATTTTTCCAAAGATGGACATACGTCAAATACCATGTCTACTTAAACGAATTAGATACTCGCGCATTTACAGGAACTCACTGAGGACCAGAAGAACTGCAAATGCTCGACGACAAACTGAAAGTAAACTGGGAAAGTTATCCTCCAAATCAAATCCCACGAGAACTTGCAGGAAGAAGGGGATTTCTTCTTCGGGAAATGCTATTATGTGGTCACATGATCGAGAAGAATGGCTCTTGTTTCTGTAAAAAACTTGTAATTTTGTTTAAAAGCCTCATAATAGTAGTAGTCTCTGCTGCTCGGTTTTGTATGTGTGTGCTAATACAGAAATACAAAATTCTGCTGCTAGGTTTAAATCAACTTATTTTCTCTGTGTAGACATATTAGTCCAGATTTTTGTACATTATCATCACATCAGACTTAAAAATTACTTTATCCGTTGTTGTTTATCACATGTNACTAAAAGAACATACAAGAACAACCTTAATATAACAATGAAAAAACACAATAATAAAAAATTTAAAAATAAAAAAACACAATAGAGACATCATCTCTTACAATATTTATTTTTCTTTTCTTACTTAAGTCTTTATCATAAGCTCCTGGACACACCCTTGATGCATCCTGAAATAACACTTGGAGCATTCAAATGCTATATCATCACTCTCCCTTATGCTTTTCCCACAATGGCCACACGGGTATCCATCGACCGAAACAGCCCGAACGCAGGCAACCGGACACTCATGGAATCCGACCGAAACCTCAAAACCGAACTTAATCTTTGACAGACGATCGAGACAAGGAATGCAGTTTGCGTGAAAATATTGTTCACATTCTTCGCATCCGTAGTGCCATTTTCCCAAATCCATGTCCTTTTCGCAATTCTCGCAAAGCCTGTTTTCTTCTTCTTCTCCTCTGCTCGAGCTTGTGATTAGCTTCAAAGGGTGTCGGTCGAATTTGTGGGTGACCGTTTCCGGGAGAAAAGCGCAGTGCGGGTGGATGGAGAAGCTACGACAATTGCTACACGTATATGAAGTTATCGTATCTTCGTTGAATTTTTCGTGGCAGCATTTACATGTTGATCTCACAAGATGTTGGTAGAACTCGCCAACTTCCCACCTCCCTTGAAGAATGTGGGCCTTCCCGTGGGCACCGTGCATGATCAAGTGAGGCATTAAGGCACACACCACATCCATATACTTTTCCTCTCCTCCTTGGATATAGTAAGCGGACCCGTTGCATTTGTGCTTGCAAACCACACACTCGAATATGGCGAAGGGTTTTGTGGCTACCTTTGGTCTAAACGAACAGTAGCCGGTATGGTAGGACCCAAAAGTTTTTGGAAAACTGTAACAACAGCTGTGCAGAGAGAAATCTTTGCACGTATTATTATTATTATTATTATTATTATTATTATGTGCGCAACTGTAAAATGGATCGGGTGGAAGGATAATTTGAGTGCAGGCATTGCAAACACGAACTATGTCATTACGATCGTGATAGATCAAGGGATGCTCGTGTACTCTGATAGTTTCTAATGAAAACGATTCGCTCATACTCGAAAGTTGAGTAAGTGAGGATGAATTGCTAGTCATAGAACTAATTGGATGATCGTGACTCGTCGTAGTACTGCCGAGACAAAACGACGGGTACGCGTGTGCCTTGGTTTTCATAATATGCGGCATCGCGCTAGCGTGCTCGTTTTCCATCGGCAGACGAAGTAGATCCGTGAACTCTGCTTCACTAACCAACACTGCACATCATTAAAACTTTCTGTTAAGTTTAATAATGTGTGTGTGTGTGTGTAATTAAGAAAAATATCGGATTATATATTACCGGGCTCGAATCTATAATGTGTTGAGTAAAGAACGCAGTTGATATGGACATAATAACAACAAACAACACAGGCGTAGAATCCGGAACTCTTGATTCCGCGGGTGCAAATGTTGCAGCCTCGATTGAATATATAAATAGAAAATTCAAGGAGAAGATGGTGCTCGTGACATGTTGTGTCGACAATGGCATTCGGAAGAAGCGCACAGTTTGGATGAAGCCAGAAATTGCAACTCGCGCATGCGTAAGCCTCTACCTGTGTATCTTTGAGTCGGCGGCGGTTAACAGTCTGGTGTATTTTCCCGCACGCGCTGCAGATGAATGAGAGGGATGAAATAGACCACACATACCCCTTAATAGCCGTCAACCTGTGCTCGTGGCTCCTATGTAAGACCGTGATGGACAGGGCGCACGGGAGATCGAGCCTGAACCCACAGTCTCGATCATCAACCATCGGACACTCGTAAAATTTGCTCCCGCAAATCGACAAACATCGTTTGCAATCATATCCTGCATTGTCATCTTCTTCCGGGCGGCGGCGATGGTGTCGGAGGATGAGGGGTCCCTGGGGTGCAGGGGATGGCCCGGGAGTTGGGGAGGGAGAGATTTGTCGGAGCATTGATCGTGAAGCAGGAGATTGCTGCCCCCCAATTTATCTTCCACGAAAGGGGTGGAGAATATCGGGAGGCGACAAGCAGCGCATGTCCAGAAGTTGGCGTCGTCTAGGTCGACCGTGTTTTGGACCTCGGGATAAGGGATAGTGTGTCCTATTTTGAAGAGTTCCTGATACATTTTGGAGGGTGGTTGTTAGGAGAATGGCTCAACAATGGTGGTCAGGTTAATTGCCTGGAAAAAAAACACGGCAAATGAAGAAAATGTGTACAAAAATGTGCATCCACGCATAAAGGGACAAAAGGGAGCTTGTAATGTTAATAGTCTTTTGGTGATTTTAGCTCCAACTATACTTCAAGTATCTAAAATCTACATGTACTTTGTCAAATTCCTTGCGTTCAAATGACAACTTACATTTATTCATTTCCTTCATCAAATCTACATGTACTTTATCAAATTCTTTCCGTTAAAATGAGAACAAAGATATGACAACCAGTCTTAGCGTGAGACATAAGAACCGTTATTTTTAATTTTACGTTGTGCGATATTTGATTGTGTTTTAGTCTATTTTTAATCAGGATGCATTTCATTAAAAATAACAACACAATTTATATTAACATCTGTGAAAATGATATCACCATTTCATATTAAAAATAACATCATACACACTAAAAAATAGCATCTAATATGGTTCTCACGGTTCTCACACCAGAACTAGTTTTTATTTGAAACATTCCCTATATATACATATACATCCTATATATATAAGTGGGATTAAATGAGAATGAGTGATAATAAGAATGAATCATAACGTTGGATGTAATATATCAACACTCCAGTGCGTGCCATTTACGTAATTATGAGTTTTTTTTATTTTTCACATGAAAATATTTTAATCATTGCACATAATACATTGTTATACTAATGTACATTCACATATAATAAGCCATTCTACACACCCAGTGTGTGTTGAATATGTGATCATATACCTAATTGAATCTGAACAAGAGTTGCAGGCGGAAGCCTGCAGAACTTGAAGAAACACTCCAGTCATTCTTCCTTCTTCAAATTACACGAACCTATCTAATCAAACCACATATCGATCAATAATTACAAGATAATCGAGCTAGTTTGTATTTCATCTGATAAGCATTGTGGCAAATATCGCATTTCAAGCAAATGCCGAAAAGTATTATTTCTTTTGCTCGCACTCAGTCGGATTAAAAACCATCTGTAACAACCAAAGTCAAAGTTCATGAAAACCAATTCATCAAGTAACAAATGCCCCTACAAGGCATGCGATTTACAACTACAAATATTGATGTAAATGGGAGTGTGAAACAGAGTTCTTTTCTAATCAACAATATCCCAAGTCTCTAAAGCCAAAAGCTGTAACATCAATTAATCCAACGCTACAAAAAGATTCAACTTTTCTCCAACTCTCTTTCCTCGTCTCCCCCATCGACATTAACTTACACGCTGCAACAATCGAACCAAATTACTCTTCTGTATATAATATATCATAGAATTTTAGTCACACTTTATGTTCCTGTAAATTCTCCTGACAAACAAGTTGGAGCCCAAAAATCCAACCGCGCCTGCAAGTTTGTAGCAAAAATTAAAACAAGTTGCAAAAAATTAATAATTGGTGGCAAAATACTTTCTTTTTACTGTAAGTTGCGGTAAGTGCAAAGCAGACTTACCACATAGTATTCCAAGACCAAGACAGAACATCAGAGTGTATCCGAAATAGAAGCTCGTCTGGAAGAAGCCCGACATCTTGGTCTTCACGTGGTAGTAATATATCGAATAGAAGTATACATAGAGAGCAGTCGAGGCCGCGGAGAAGAACGAAGTCCATTGCCAGTGGTAATTCTCAGCATTCAGCAGGAAGTAAGTCCCCACAATTGTAACGCAAACAGTGACGATTATCAGGATTACAAACACGAGAAGCATGAAGCCGTACACATAGTAAACCTATCGACAAGAGAACAATTATAATTCAGTATGCGATAATTTTCAATGCACATTTTTTAAATGGCTAGGGCAAAGCATAAGAACAGAGAAAGAAAACAAAAGGATATTAATATTATGCATCTTGTAATTTACAACACTTGAGATCATAAGTCGAAATTTAATTACCTTGTAATTCCAGAAAGAGGTGAAGACAAAATACATCTCGATAAAAATGCTTCCAAAAGGAAGCAAACCCCCCATGAGAGATATAATGGATGGTGTTAGGTACCATTTCTTCTCGGGAATGGGACGAGGGATAGTCTTTACTCGGCAAGGATTGTTTGGGGCGCCACTCCAGTTTCTTCCGACAACAGTGCCAAGAAGAGCTAAGGGGAAGGAAATAAAGGCCCATATGACAAAAACAACTACCATGGTACCAAAGGGGATGGCAGCCAGGGAACCGTAGAATATTGCAACCGTGTTAAGGATGAAGCCGATGCCAAAGCACAGGAATGGGAAAAGTGATGCTGTGAGGATCATCGACTTGATCCATTTCTTACCTAACAAGAGCGATAGAAGTGATAACCACTTAGAAGATTCGTAACTGACGGGACACAACAGTACATGTCATAGGATAAAAGACTGAACGAGTAAAAACTAGCTAGGAATGATACGTACCACCATTGCGGGAATACATGCCACCGCTTACATAACCGGCAATAAATGAGGTAAAAGCATAGCAGATTATGAAGGTGGTGACAATTGCTCCTCTCCTGAGTCAAATAAAATGAAACCAGGTAAAAGTTATGTAACTATTAAGTAAGAAAAGTAAGTAGAGAAAATAATAATCCAAGTCTACATCAAAGTGGCAAAACCATAAATTTGTCACCATGCTTCAAATGTTTGCATTATATTAGAAATGCAATAAAGAGGGACAAACATAACCAAAGAGTTTCCAATGATTTATTAGACCAGAAACTGATGAAAAGACAAGATAAAGGTACTCATAGTCGTAGAGGCTAACTTGCAGAGACTGGGTTTATTTTGAATTTCAATAAAGGAACCATCTAGAGGAAGGTCGGATACTCTAATACATTAAAGAGAAATTCTAGCTTGAAGATCTTATGGAGTAAATGTCATATGCAAGTGTGGCAAATAAACCACCGGAAAATAATGAACAAAGTCAAATGTAAAGAAAACTTAATAACATTGCGGATGCAGTTGAAGAAATCCTTTACGTTCTCATGTTTCACTATATTTCATTTTCTTGATTTTTAAATATGTATTCGTTCCATAAAAAAAATGAAGATTGGCTGGACAGCTTGCAATGTTCAATATAGAAAGGGAAGCTGCACTACCTTGGATCCCACACCTACTTTCCGAGAACCAGAAATAAATACAACTACAGAAGGTTCTATGACTATAAATACTATTTTGGTTACATGTGAGGTTAATGAGAAACTCATGTGACAACAAACAAATGTCTTCTAACTGAGGTGATCAATGAGCATAATGCTAAAACTAAATTTGCAGGCTACAATGAAATACATGAGTGTTTCTACCATACCCAATGTAAAGCATTCCAACAATTGCTAAAATGATGACGAGCAGAACAAGTGTGGCCAGCTGAGCACCAGTACCGACAACAGCTGATAGCAGAGCCAGATTTTGGGGAGGCCTAAACACATCTCCATGTACAAGTTTCCAACCAGATTCCTCACTTACATCCCGTTCCTAACAACGAAGTTCAAATAAGCAAAATTCCAATACGCAATAAACAAACAGGAGTGTAATTATGAATTTAAAGACGAGAAAATTCAGAATCATTACCAGAGTCTCAAGATCATCATCTTCCCTAGCATATTTTGCGTAGTCATTGCGAAGTGTCCGCATTAATATCATTGACACCAACCCAGTTAGGAAAATTACCATCATGAAAGAATTAAAGACAGAAAACCAGTGGATCTGCAAAAAGAAATTGCTCGGATGAGCTCGCTAGGAATAATAATTGTAAACAAATTTACTTCTCCACATAAGCTTTAGGACTAGCATCCATCCGTTGCCAGCATTTAAAGAAAGTTTCAGTAGGATATGAATCAAAATTTAAAGTAAACAATCATGTTGTCCAAACCAGCTCACAGCATATTCACCTCAAAACTTGGCAACATTAAGGAGAACGTACCTGGTGCTCAAAAAATGGGTAATCCAGGTAAACATCAAACCGGCGCGCAAATGTAACATTAGTTGGAACCCATTTGACGGAGTAAGTCATATCTAGTACTCGCCCCTCTTCAAGTGGCTTAGGATTATCTTGAGTGAGATTGACATGAATAATCTGTAAGTGAATATTGAATCAGTTCAAAATGAAGCCTCTTACATCTGGTTGGAGGAATGATTTAATATGTATATAGTTTTTGTTCGAGCCAACCTGGTTCCCATTGTAGTTGATGACAAGATTCTTGTGTGTCCATAGCACATGCTTATTATCACGGTTTCTATCAGGCAGAACCTCACCAACGAAACCTTTGCAAAGGATTGACAATGGAATCAGAGCTCAACTTCAACATAGCACAATACTAAAATAAAGTAATATAAAGTCGGATACATACCCCACAAAGGCAGGTCATCTGATCACAAGACAAGCAACAAACAAGGTTACACAAGACCGGTTAGAGAAGAATGAGGAGGTACTGATTATGTATATAAACTTTTACGGATATATATATATATATATATTAGTAAGCTTTCCTGTAAGTGCAAAAACCTTTTTGAACATACCCATAAAAAATTCAAACCAGTATGAATTATCAATTGCATCCTTAAACTGCGTAGCTTTTGCTGCATCAAGTTCGATTTCACAAATCGAAGTCTTCTCCACATCTCCTGCAAAATTGATAGCCATATATAATGTACACCATTGCAGGAGACCAGAAACAGCATGCTGAACATATGGAGAAACGTCACATTACTCTTAAATTTTATCGCGATCTGGCTATCGATGAGCTCATTCCCTCCGAGAACCTCACCAAGCCCACCCCATTTGTGAGCAGGGTTGCCAGGTGGGTGGCAAAACGGAAGGCTGTAATAGTTGTAAGTTTCCTGGGGATTATTATATGGACCAACCTTGTTCACCCACAGAGTGACGGGATCATTCGCTTGATACTGCACATAAATGAAACGATATCAACTACTGAAAAGGAAACATGCGTTCAATTAATTGCATAAGACAATCAGATTCATTAGTATCATGAATATATGTTGATAACAAACATCAAAAGAAACCAAGACAAATCGCATCCTTTCAGAAAGTGAAAGACAATACTGCATAATCAGAAACGAAAAAAGTTAGCAATTTAATGCACAACGACATACTGAAAAGGAAAGCCAAAGCCAATGAGATCCGGACAATCGCCTCCAATGAAAATTAGTGCAATTAAATGTCAATCACACTTTTTGATCAATCGTATCAACAAACTCAAATGACCAAAAAGAAACAAAAGACAGAGAGACCTGCCGCTTTATTATTATAAAACTTTCTTTCCAAGCTTTTTTAAAACTTTGTTGCAACCTGCTGATCAACAATAAAAGAGTGACAACAAGAAGAACTAGCCAATCACTAGCATAAAACTAAACCCAATACATAAAGTCAATGCCTATCAACCTTCAGCTAACAAACAACTCAAACCTCATATTACCCATCCATAAATTGCAAATACAGCACAACAATTACCACTAATGAGATATCAGCAACAGAGATCACGCATCAGGCAAAACCAAATACAGTAAAAATTCACGGGCATTCGCATACAAACAAGATCTACCGACATTCAACGAATAAAAACCGAAATTCAGAAGCCTTCCAGGACAAATCACTAATCGATCACCTTGCCGAGAGCAGACGATACGAGGAACGCGGAGAAGAAGAAGATACAAACGCAGAAAGATCGGGTGGAGGAGAGCATCGCTTCGTTTACACCGAGCCTCTATCGGATCTGAATCGCGAACAATTCACCAGATTGGAAAACGGATCGGAAAATACCCCTTTCTAACAAAAATATATTCAGATCACTCGAAAGGTTTACGAATCTGTGGAGGATTTTCAGAGGAAGAAAAGGAAACAGCAAATCTGGGTTTATGAGTAAAAACTAAAAAGCCTGCAATTTAATTAATTCAATCTTTGACCCAAATTGTTTGAGTTAAACTCCCTTTGACGCATTAGCCTTTTCTTAATTGTCATTTTTGTCCCATTCATTTATTCCTAATATTTCTCAAATATTACTTTTTTATTAATCTCAACTACTATCAATGAAATTGGGATGTTTTACAAGTTATGTATTAAATTTAAATTAGTACGGAGTATCCGTGCGATGCGCGGAGTTTATTTCTCCATCCTTTTTAAAAGGTAATTATCAGTTAAAATTCAAACTACTTACTAAATGAAAGATCATGTCATTAATAATTAATAAATCTATATCTATATCTATATTATATATAAAAAAGTTTAATTATTTTTTAAATAGTAACTATTCCCTCCAAACAAAATCTATTTATTATTTCGGAAAAATTAATTTAAGAATTTATGGTATATATCAAATAATCACTTATGGAAATTGTGACTCATTATTTGAGGAAGTAATTAGACTATATTTTAAGATACCTTAATTACTCAAATCATGTGAAATAATTAATATATGGTATAGAGTGAACGGGTTTATTCTTGGTATTGATGGTTGTTTCTATGGGAAATAAATTAATCAATATATGGTATAAAGTGAGTAAATTTATTTAAGTTATTTGATGACTGCTTTTTGTTAAAAAAAATGTTGAAAAATTAATCAATACACGGTGTACTTTTTTTGTAGAGCGCAGACCAATATATTGGTTTTTAGGTGTGTGTTTCAATTTTTATTTCAATTTTTCGTGTGAAATTAACATAATAAAATTACCGTAACTCCGACAAAATTTTATGAACGGACATTTTGATATAATGTGCATGTATCGATATTTTTTTTATAAAAGCTCTGGTCAATTTTTTTTGTATAATTAGTGGGTCTCAATTTAATTCATTTTTTGTTACGATATTTCAAATAATATTTGTGTGAAATGCTTTGTTTTTAGCATGATAAAAAGTATATTTTTTTGGCATAAAAAATCGTACGACTGGTTGTTTTTACTCAACTACTTAAATTTTTTTATATGGATATTTTATACAAAAGTAAATTCATTTTAATTAATGAAACAATATAAGTTTTATATTTATACTTATTATTCACATATGTTTTTAAATATATAATAAAATTTTACCAAAATAATTATTGTATGGAATCGCGTTATTGTCAAATCGAATTTCTGAATAAAAATTTTGAAATGACACATGGTTTGAAATGAATATAATGTAATTTATTATTAGTTATGTACAACGCATAGGTTGTGTACTAATTTTAAATATATATTTTTATGTATTTTTGCACAATTTATATTTTATATATCATATTCAATAAATTAATATAGGTAGATTGTATTACATATTGATTCCATGTTTTTAATCTATAAATATTATTTAATGATAATTTTATATTTTTAAACATTAGTGAATAATTCTTACTCGTGCATCGCACGGGATTCGTACTAGTATATATAAAAAATTTTGATTATTTTAAAATAATAACTGTTTCCCGCCACAATAAATTGCATGCTATTAAGGGAAATTAATGATTCAATATTTGGTATACTTTTTTTTTGTATAAAATATCTACAATTTATTGATATAGATTTTTTTTTGTATGCGTTGGTATTGATTTTTTGGTATGAAAATTCTGCAAGTTTAAATGATGGATTTTTATTTTATTTGGTATGTTTGCCTAGGTATGGATTATTTTGGTATGATAGCCGCAACATTTGACTTTTCAATGTTTTAAATTCTTTCATGATTAGTGGATATCAAATTCGATTAATTTTTAAAAATCTACGATACCATTTGAGTTTCTGAATATATTAAATTCAAATGTATTAAATTTTAACAATTGCTGCATATTATGCATGGGCGTTAGATAATATTTTTGTTATATATACGCATTGATGCATTCTTTTAAAATTTCTATTTTATTAACGAATAACATATAATATTGTAAGTATTTAATAGCGCATAATTTATGAATTCAAATATTAAACATTTTCCAAGTTATTTACGAAAAATTGACCAAATATATTATGTACCTAATTGTCATCTAATTGGCATGCAATCCAGTGATTACAATTACATCACTGGCTTTCCAATTATTGTGTTTGTTGAATCCAAATCTATTACTATATAATACGGAGAAGAAAAATTATTTGAACAATTCGAAAATAATCATTTCGTTTTCCCGCTTCAATATAGTGTTTTCCCGCTTCTTCAATTCGTAAATTTTTTTTTTTGAATTTTTTTAGCCCATGCAATTAGGTAACCAATCAAATCGAATCTTTCAGCATTCAATTTGGTAAGGTGTTCCGATTTTAGCATTCAAATCCGATTTCACTTCCTTTTTTTATGCCAATCAATCCGATTTTTTTGGTTGTTTCAAAATTTGTTTAGATTTATATTTTTATTTTATTAATATATTTGAAAGAGAATCAATAAATGTTTATCATAACTTTTATTTTAAAAATAAATTTGAATAAGCATACCTTTTACTTTATATGAAATTCAAAATTACATATTTTAATATATTAATAAACGTTTAGTATTTATTTTTCCTTATGTGATATAGTAGAATTTCGGTATTAAATTTGTAAATTCAAACATTTAAAGGAAAAGATTCCAAACAATTTTTTTGGGTAAATTTCATTTTATCTTGGTTTTCATTATCACATTTCTAATAAACTAATTAGTATTATATTTTTTTATCTACATTATCTAACCGATTTTTTATGATACAATTAATATAATATCTTAACAAATTAATCATTTGTCTAACCGGATTTATCTCTTTAACAAACTTGTCAATTTTTTTAAAATTAAAATGGTATGATTATTCTTATGGAGATACTTATCAATATATTAAATATTTAGAAACTTTTTTTTAAAAAATGAGTTATCCCTCCTTTTACTTTATTTGAAATTCTGACTTATATTTTTAAATATATTATTATTTAATTTTTTACATGTAAATATTTATTATTTATTATCTAAGTGATTATTGATTTATCTCTTTAATAAATATTTATTATTTATTTTTTTTCCTTACGTGATATAATGTAAATTTGGTTACTAAATTTTTAAATTCAAACATTTAGGAAAAAACCACGAACAAATTTTTTGGTTACATTTCATTTTATTTTAACTTTCATATAATCACAATCCTAACAAACTAATTAGTATAATATTTTTTTACCCATTTTTATATAATCGGATTTCTTAAAATATAATTAATATAACATTTTAAATATTTAATCATTTGTATAACTTGATTTAACTCATTATCAAACTTGCCAAATTTTTTTTGAAATTAAAAAAAAAAATTGGAAGATTTTTATTTGTAAAATATTAAAAAAATAGCTTTACTTTAAAGTCTGGATTATTTCCATTATTTTTTGTACGTTAACAATCATATATTTTGGATTATTGATTTAAAAAAACAAATCAAAACCGTAAGGTTTAATAATATTTCTTAAATAAAAAATATTGTATAAAGAAAAGTATTTAATATTATATATTTTTCATTGATTGTATTTATTTTATTTTCATAATAGACGAGATGTGAAAAATATAAATAATTATATTTAAAATAAAGTCTAAAAAAATGTTTAAAATATGAACTTTTCCGTGCATCGCACGGGATATACTAGTCTTTCCAAAACGTGGTGAATAATTCTATTTGTAAATTCGTTGATTGATGTAACTTAATAAAAATTATTGAATGAAATATGTCTAAAAACGAATATAGTGATTATGTACTTTCCAAACAAAAGTCATCTTAATCTATATGTATATCTATATATATATATATACAAAAATTTAATTATTTTTTAAAGTGTAACTAATCCCCTCCAAACAAAATTTATTTATTATTTCGACAAATTAATTCAACAATTTATGGTTCATATCAAATAATCACTTATGTAAATTGCGGCTCATTATTTAAGGAAGTATGACCAATTTATGGTATACATCAAATAATCACTTATGTAAATTACGGCTCATTATTTAAGGAAATAATTAAGCCATATTTTAAATAACCTCAATTACTCAAATCATATGAATTAATTAATATATGGTATAAAGTGGACAAATTTATTTTTGGTATTGATGGTTGTTTTTTCTGGGAAATAAATTAATCAATATATGATAAAAAGTGAACAAATTTATTTACAGTTGATGACTGTTTTTGTTAAGAAATTTGTTGAAAAATTAATCAATACACGGTGTACTTTTTTCTGTAGAGCGCAAGCCAATATATTGGTTTTTTAGGCGTGTGTTTCAATTTTTATTTCAATTTTTCGTATGAAATTGACATAATAAAATTACCGTAACTCCAACAAAATAATAACAATGGATATTTTGATATAATGTGCGTGTATCGATGTTTTTTTATAGAAAAAGCCATGGTAATTTTTTTTGTATAATTAGTGTGTCTCGATTTAATTCATTTTTTGTTACGACATTTCAAATAATTTTTGTGTGAAACGCATTGTTTATTTTTTTTAGTATGATAAAGAGTGTTGATTTTTTTGGCATAAAAAATCTTATGACTGATTGATTTTACTCAACTACTTAAATTTTTTGATTTGGATATTTTATACAAAAATAATTCATTTTAATTAATGAAACAATATAAGTTTTATATTTATACTTATTATTCACATAGGTTTTTAAATATATAACAAAATTATACTGAATTAATTATTTTATGGAATCACGTTATTGTCAACTCGAATTTCTGAATAAAAATTTTTGAAATGACACGTGGTTTGAAATGAATAT